AATATGATAGGAGAAATATGATAGGAGAAATATGATAGGAGAAATATGATAGGAGAAATATGATAGGAGAAATATGATAGGAGAAATATGAGCATTGGTTTTTTAACATGGATGTTGCTTCCACCCCACATCCCCACACTCCCACACTCCCACATCCCCACACTCCCACACTCCCATATCCCCACACCCCCACCTTCCCTCATAAACTCAATCCCAATACCTTTTCTCTCCTATTCAACCTACTTCTGGTGTTTCCGGATAGTTCTTAAAATAGCTCTGCTCGAAAGATCGAAAATCTGAATCAATCCCGTTGCATCTCCCGCGACAAGTAATTTGCCATCATTTCTTATGTGTCCACTGTACACGACGTCTTTGAATCGTGATATGGTTTTTTTGACTCCATTAATCGAAGAGTAAATTTGTATTCGCGTTGATGCAGTTACGGCAAAATCATGTTGGTGAATAGGAGAAAAGTGTATCGATGTTACACTAGCTACTTCCTTGTATGTTTGTGAAGTCTTTCAATGAAGTGTAATGAAGGAGTGAGTTTTTTGTATTAACTAATTTGATATAATAATGCAAATCGAATATTAATCCAAGGGCCTGATCATAATATTTCTACTATTGAATACTATTCCCCCCGAGTCAAATTCGACTTACTTTGAATCTCTTCCAATATCTCGATTCATCCGTCTTTCCAGGTGGTAAAGGGTATTTCTGTATTTGAACTTTCTTGTATGGAGCCGCCATTAATTATATTTTGTGGACATTGAACAAACGGGAGAAATGGATTTTTTTTTTATTGGTAAGTTATCACGTGGATCTGCAGTAAATTGCAGGGGTTGTGCATATAGTCGAATGCATTGATTTCGCAGAGTGACATCACAAGAGGAAATTGGCTTCTCTTTTCGTTTAATGTACAAGACGATGTCGAACCTGGTGATGTTAATCAAATAGGGTATTGGTCTGTCCGTCTGTTTATGTCAACCGGAAAACTTTTCTTACAAGACAAGCACATTGATGGATCATACTCATCTTATGAAAACGCTGTTTATTAGAACAAAAGAGTATCTACATATTTTACTGTATTCCTAGGGAAAGGTTTTGTCGTATTTGGTTGAAAGATATAAGTTGTATAAACAAAGAGTGTTGTTTTACCGAATCCCATTGATCAAGTATTCTCGCCATTGATACAGAAACCACCCTTGTTTACGCGCTCTCTCTCCATATTATAAATTGCATCAATCTAGAGCTCTCACAGATATCTCACCTCCGTCCATGTGTTGTAGATGATATTATGTTACCTGCGATTGTTTGTTTGATATGGAGTACGATACTGCAGTAGACTGAGTAGTTTATATAGATAAAGGACTCTATTACAAATTCAAGTTCAGAATAGTTTGACGGTCAAAATCGCATACTCAAATCTGTATATCGAATTCTACTCCATCGAATCTGGGCGATAAAAAGACACTGCCAAATCCGAGTCTGCTATTGGACGCATATTTTTCGGTTTACACGTATCGATATTACTGTATTAAGAACATAATACTTTATTTAGCTATATTCAATGCAGACTTGCAAATATGAAATATAATACAACCCAATTTTTTTCAAATACTTCCGTTATCGAATCGGGTAATTTATTCTAGTATAAATTTGTCCGATGTATCGAGGAATCAGGAAACTGTTGTCATCCGAGCCCTTTTAACTCATCAACGCTAACCTCCCATGCAAAACTAACGCCTTTTGCTTGACACTGTACATCTCAACAACGTCGAGTTTCTTTTGTCGATTCTCTTTCTGTGTCGATTCGTGTTGATCAATTCTCGGACCATATCGGATTATTATTATTATGCAGAAGACTTGAATAAGAAAAATTCGGATTAAAAAGTCCGCATTGACCAAATTTATGCACGTGAAGCAAGTCTGTGATACAATAGTATGCAATACGGGGTAGGTACCATATAGTGCTAGGTAAATACTCGAAATAACAACGAAAACTGTAGAAAGGCGGGGCAATGGAACTTTGTATCACTACTATATTTGTCGCACCACCGAAAAAGCGGATTGTAAAGGTGGTTTAAAGAGATAATGTAATCATAGCGACCACAAAATGAAGATGACGATCATCATAATAACGTTATTAATAACGTTTATTAGTTGATTTGAACACCATATTATATAAACAAATATCATTAACTTCGCTCTGTCCTACCAAAATAACGTTAATCATTGTTTTTTGCCGCTAATCCATATATAGCTTATCCTTGAATCTATAAATGGTAAGATCGGATATATATTGTGTAAGATCAGAACTATACTTGGCGAGATCAACGCAAATCATCGGGGACGTGATATGTAAAAATTATTTTAGCGACAGAAAATGCTGGTTCATATGCTTTTTCTTCATAGAGATGCACATATCCGTCTTTATTTCAAAGCCTCATTTTTACTGTGTTGATAAATATACATTCATATGTACATAAAATAATTAAACCCACATACACAAAGGAAAACCATGCCCATTGGCAAGCGCAAACGTCTGAAAGAACACCAAGAAAGGTCAGCATTTCCAAATTTGCAAGAATATTGGGTCACTGCATGCTCGTCAGGTATCACACTCACAATCCACCGCCTCATTTTCAGCAGGAACATAAACAAAAACCGGTTGCAGATTTAACGCCCTCGGCTGCGTTGTCAAATCGCATTCACACATTCCGTTATCCATCTAGTTCTTCAAACATCAGGAATTGGGTATCAGTGAAAGCTCCTGTATCATCGCAAGAGCCGAAACATGCAGGCGAGACAAGCCCCAAGTTTTCTGACGGAAAGGTATTCTCATAAACGGGTAGCGGTAAAAAAGGAAAAACAAACGGCGGGCATAATGGGTTTGCTTCTTGATTGGTGTCGGGGGAAAAGGTTGGATATTCTTGCTGGCATAAGGTGATAGGAAAAATGGTGCAGTTTACATTAAACTGATTATAGAAGTTATCGGTAACAACATGCTGCTGATATTGTTGATATTGTTGCTGTTGCTGTAGTAGTAATAGTAGTTCTTGCCATTGTTGCATTTCTTGCTGTTGTTCTAACAGTTGTTGCTGCTGTTCTTGTTGTAGTTGTAACTGTTGCTGTAGTTGCAACTGTTGTAGCATTATTTGCTGCTGTTGATATTGTTGTTGATATTGTTGTTGATATTGCTGTTGATATCGCTGTTGCTGTTGCTGTTGTTGTTGATCTTGTTGTTGTTGATGTTGTTGATGTTGATGTTGATGTTGATGTTGTTGTTGTTGTTGTTGTTGTTGTTGTTGTTGTTGCTGTTGACGTTGATGTCGTCTTGGTTGCTGTCTATCCACGCGCTCGCGAGACATCGTCTGTTCTTCCGCTTTCTTTTTTATTTCTCTGATAGAGACATTATTGCATGGTTTCTTCTTTTTCAACCCTATTAGCGTATACCGGACACTTTTGCTATACTTTCGCAATTCCGTTTTAAAATCACTGGATTCATTCACCCATGCTTCCTTGGCTGCTACTGAGAGATAACGCTGCTGATGCTTAATGCCTCGACTTTTAAGCTCCTCGCCGTATAGCTTGCGATAGATAATAAACACACTTGGAGGTTTTGTCGGTAGTTGCCCGTTCTTTTTTTGCGTAATTAAATTTCTTGGCGGTGGGAGATTGGCCAAGATGGACGAGCAGAGTTCGGAGAGTTTATGTTGAGCGAGCATTTTTAGTAGCAGATATATGGTTTGAAAAAATTCTTCAGCTAGACTGAGTATTCCAATATTCGACGTTTATATATGAAAATATTAATATATAATTTTTGTGCAGCGTAGTACAAGTTTATTATGTATAAACGTATTTATGTATACTATTAATGTTTTTACCTAATTGGACGAATATGCTTATCAATC